CTTCACAATTTCCAAGGTCCTGAAACATTCCAGCACCCCTAGGACCTTAGAGAGTTCCTTTAGCCCTTCACACTGTCTAAAGTCCTAAAACATTGCAGCACTTTCAGGACCTTGGACAGTTCCTTCAGTCCTTCACAATTTCCAAGGTCCTGAAACATTCCAGCACCCCTAGGACCTTAGAGAGTTCCTTTAGCCCTTCACACTGTCTAAAGTCCTAAAACATTCAAGCACTTTCAGGACCTTGGACAGTTCCTTCAGTCCTTCACACTGTCTAAAGTCCTGAAACATTCCAATACTTTCAGGACCTTGGACAGTTCCTTCAGTCCTTCCCGATGTCCAAGGTCCTGAAACATTCCAGCACTTTCAGGACCTTAGAAAGTTCCATTAGCCCTTCACAGTAGCTATGTTGACATGCGAAAAATTATTTGATTGGATTGAAATGTATTCGGATTAAATAATCAGAATGTATCATTTACATGTGCGCAATCCAATCATGATGAGTGACCAGGCTTTTGTTCAGAACAGAAGCACCGAACTGAGCAGTTGCTAACTCCCCCCGCCAAAAAAATAAGCAAAATAAAAACACAAAAGAGTTTTACACTCATCATGAACGTAAACAAACAGCTTCTGAGCTCAAAATGGACCTCAGACAACTTTTAATAATGTTGGAGACGTTACTCCCTGGTTAAGCTACAGGTGACGGATGGACTTTTTTTTCTTTTTTTGCAAAGCGGCACAGGCTGTTTGTCTTCCTTCTTTACTGAATGAGAGAACGTGAGGAAAAGTTCTGTGCTGCTGGAAACTACGGCACTGCTGTCCCTCACTTTTCAAAATAGCAAAAACCGGTGGATGAAAGTCAGCAGACATGCGCAGTCAGGTTTGTTTTCCACAATCAGAATAAGATGATCAGATTAAATGTTTACATGCACGCTGTTCAGATTATTAATCGGCATAAACAAACTCTCTCATTCTGATTACAAATTCATTTGATTGAGCTGAATTGGGTCAGAATAATCCAAATGGGGTGTTTACATGACACATTTTTATTCCGAATGGCCATTTAATCTGATTACTTATGTCCGTGTAAACGTAGCTACTGTCTAAAGTCTTAAACATTCCAGCACTTTCAGGACCTTGGACAGTTCCGTCAGTCTTTCACACTGTCTAAAGCAGTGATTCCCAAACGGGTATGCATGCATATCATAGGGGGTATGTGAAAAAATTTCCCAGGTGTGTAAAAAAACACACATTACATTATAGTTTTGGAGAACCATTATTACGTTTGACTGAAGGGGTAATAGTGGTATGACAAAATGGCTCAAGTGGAGCACAAGTCTAAAAAGGTTGGGAACCACTGGTCTAGAGGACGTGAGTTTGAAATGAAGTGAAACTGTCTGCCCAGGCCTGCCTGCTGGACATGACCATCAGAGACCCCTGACACCCAGAAAGACAAAAATGNGTCCTGAAACATTCCAGCACCTTCAGGACCTTGGAGAGTTCCTTCAGTCCTTCACTCTGTCTAAAGTCCTGAATCTTTCCAGCACTTTCAGTAACATGGACAATTCCTTCACTCCTTCACACTATCTGAAGTCCTGCACCATTCCAGCATTTTCAGTACCTTGAACGGGTCCTTTAACAGTGCCTTCAGTCCTTCACAATGTCAAAAGTCCTGAAACATTCCAGCACCTTCAGGACCTTGGAGAGTTCCTTTAATCCTTCAAAAATGTCTAAAGT